GGTTTTCAAAAGACAGTATTACTGGAAAGGATGATGTCTTGAATGCACTTTCTGCAATTGCTTCTATCACTTCCTAAAAAAATCAATAACAAATAAATACAGTTACAACCTGATAAAATCTCATTAAGGGAAACAGAAATATGTAATTAATGTTTATATTAAACAACCTTCAACTAGAACTTGAAGAAGCTCTTGTGGTTAAACATTGTCCACATTTTATTTTTCCTTTATACTGATTTCATCAGTTTTTTGGCTCTTCACATAAGCACATTTTAACAAACACCAAATCAAACCTTCAATCCAAGTAAGTAAAATTAATAAATTAGTGATAATGACTATCCAAATCTAAGAATTACTTCCTAACACTGTTAAATCAGAGAACACTTACATCTCTAAGTTCAAGCAATATTAACATTTTAAAATTTACAAAGGTTTCTTTTCTTTAGACATGGATATGTATTCAGAAGTTGGACTGTACTTCGTTTACAGTCTACCTTAACAGAATTTATAATAGACAGCAACACTGCAAACAAAAATGAGTGACAGTCAATAACTGTAGTATTTATTGTGATGTGGTAATCATAATATAAGCATGTATTATGAGCAGCCTGTAACCTTACCTTTAACAAGATTACTATAAACATGGTATAACCGTAACCTTACCTTGAACAAGATTTCTATAACTATAACTAATAACTGTAATCTTACCTTTAACAAGATTCTATAATCATAACTGTAATTGTTATCTTACCTTTAAAAAGATTTTTCTAACCATACTATAACTGTGATCTTAACATTAAAAAGATTTCTATAACAATACTGTAACTGTAATCTTACCTTTAACAAGATTACTGTAACCACGCTATAATTGTAATCTTACCTTTAACAAGATTACTGTAACCACACTATAACTGTAATTTTACTTTTAACAAGAATTTTGTAACCACTCTATAACTGTAACCTTACCTTTAACGAGATTACTATAACCAGTTTAACTGTGATCTTACCTTACACAAGATTTCTGTGACCACAATATAGCCATCAATTATAACTGTAATCTTACCATTAAACAAGGTTTCTATAACCACAATACAACCAACAGTTATAATTGTAACCTCACCTTTAACAAGGTTTCTATAACCACAATACAACAATCAGTTATAATTGTAACCTTACCTTTAACAAGGTTTCTATAACCACAATACAACGATCAGTTATAATTGTAACCTTACCTTTAATAAAGTTTCTGTAACCACAATACAACAGTAATTGTAACCTTACTTTTAACAAGGTTTCTGTAACCACAATACAACAGTAATTGTAACCTTACCTTTAACAAGATTTCTGTAACAACAGTATAACCATGAGTTATAATTGGTTCTTCATCTGAATTCCTTCCATTCCAACAGTCAAGCTCCACACACCGACATCCTGTCAGCAAACACTGACGGTACATTTCTACCGATGATTTTCCTGTCAACTGATGGCCTGAAAAAACAACAACATAAGATCCAAAGGTCATAGTAAAATGTGCTCCTAAATTATTTTCTTACCTAATAGGGTAAATAGTTATAAGCATTATTCAGATTGTTACTTATTAATAAAACAATAACTGATTAGTTGTGTGCTACAACAGACTACTGAGTAAACTGACCTGTTAAGTAAGTATTGTGAGATGAGTTAATAAAGTAATGACTTAGAGGTTGGTCCATGTCCTCATTGAGATCAAACTTTTCTGGTGCCATGATGTTGTTGTCATCACTTGTGAGATACCGAAGAAACCCTTCAACAGACAACATTCCTAAAACCAACAAAGATGTCCAGAATGCAGAAAGGAATATAAAACATTTGTTACAAAACTTACTTTCATATATATATATATATATAAATGATGATATAGCTTCAAAACTATTATATCAATTACATTAATTGTCAATAGGCGATCAAGATCAGC